TGCAATCATAACATGTGTAGGTCTGGTGCATTAAACGCTCTTAGGTATTGATTCTCTTTCATTTCTGACGCTCTGAGGTCCATAAAGAACAGATTCCTTTACAAAATCCACAGCTTTCTGACCTACAAAATGATTAGCATTCTTGAATGCCTGCAGAGAAAACAGAAAACAAACAATAAAGAATTAATACTTCTTTCAAGAATTTAAGATGCCTTAACATGGTCAGATAAGAAGACAAATCTAACAATTTGGTACTCATACAGACATGCAAATGAGCGAGGGAAAGAACTTTGTATCTTACTTTCATCATTGAGGTTGACAGAAAGGTTAGCAACTTTTGACTGGTCTTCAGATGTGCAAAACGTACGTGGCAGTCCAGGCTGAGGTGGAGAACTTGTGCTGCTCCGACTTGATTGTCCATTTGAATTGAGCATTCTCACCTGATGGTTCAAGTATATTCCCAAGGTAGAAGTTGTCTGTCCTGTATTCTTCCTGCCCTTAAAAAATCTTTCCCTGATAAGAAAATTATGCAAAAAATAAAGGGAAAAAAAAAGGGGTTAACATTGAACAAGTTAAAGGATTGAAAGCCACTAGAAAGGAGTGTGCAAGTTATCTCATGGAATGATAGTTGGACAAAATAGACACCTGTCTTTTCGCTTTTCAAGATATCTCTGCAATGACACTTTTCTGTTCGCCTGGCCATCTACATCTTAAGACCAACCAGAAAGTGTTGGTATAATAAAGATTAGTAAAAGATGTTTTTCCTTCAGAAAATTATCATGAGATACTCAAGGCAAAAACTCAGATCTTCTTAAAAGCACCACTAGGTATGCTGCCTAGGAGCATCTCATATGAGAACAATAGTCCCCATCTTTGCAATTTGCTTTTATATACAACATAAATGAAACGAAAAGAATAATATACATGTTTTAATTTGAAACTGAAAACATAAGATGGGGCTGATTGTCTACAAGTTGGATACCTCATTTCTGCCCTTAGTCTTAGGTACACTCACACAAAGATAAACATATATTTATTTAGTAAAACTTGACAGGAGTTTATTGTGTAAATATAAACTTCTGTGCAATAAGGAAAGTTTATCAAGCCCATTACCCACCCAAAAGAGAGCCAAAAGAACATTTTATAGGTGATAAAATAGCATAGAATGAGCAAGGGCTTAAAAAGATCACATACCGAGTTCGTGAGTCATATTTCCCCTAAAGTGCTGCTGGTATTCTGCCAACTTCTCTGCAAAGTTAAATTGAAATCAAGATCATTTAACCATTGATATCTTAAGAGATAATAAATTCCAGTATAGTAGTCCTAAGATCTTCAACCATGTAATGCCAGAGGAACTATCTTTTTGTGAGCAGACAGGAAAGTGAGCTCTTGTGCCACCAAGGCAGTTATTTATCCACAGTGTACAGATTAAGAAGTTTAGACCTGTCTACCTCCTAGAGAAAGATCCAGGAAATCAAAATAAATAACTCACAATTATGCATTTTAATCTCCTA